ACGGGGCAGGGTTGGCACTATGTGGGCAGCCAGGCACGGGGCAGGGTTTGCTCTATGTGGGCAGCCAGCACAGGGCAGGGTTTGCACTTGTAGGCAGCCAGGCACGGGGCAGGGTTTTCTTTATGTTGGTGGGCGAGCCAGGCACGGGGTGGTGGGTTTTCTCTCTGTGGACAGCCAGGCACAGGGTAGGGTTTTTTTTTTCTATGTGGGCAGCCAGGCACAGGGCAGGGTTTGCTCTAGGTGGGCAGCCAGGCACGGGACAAAGGGTTTATATGAGGAATAGAGGGGAAAAAAAAAAGCGGCAGAAAATAAATAGAACAAAAGCTGCACTCCTAACCAAAAAAAGGTAAAAAGTGAATAAATCAAAGCGTGCGCTAAACTTAAGTTTTTTTTCTCTCCATAAGACCCACCTAGGTTTTAGAGGTAAAAAAAAAACGAATGGACTGCGGACACAGTACAGGGATGACCAGAGATGCGGACACAGTACAGGGGATGACCAGAGACTGCGGACAGAGTACAGGAGATGACCAGAGACTGCGGACACAGTACAGGGGATGACCAGAGACTGCGGACACGTGAGTACAGGAGATGACCAGAGGACTGCAGACACAGTACAGGAGATGACCAGAGACTGCGGACATAGTCAGGAGATGACCAGAGACTGCAGACACAGTACAGGAGATGACCAGAGACTGCGGACTAGTACAGGGAGATGACCAGAGGACTGCGGACATAGTACAGGAGATGACCAGAGACTGCGGACAATGGTACAGGAGATGACCAGAGCGACCTGAGGACACCAGTACAGGGGGATGACCAGAGACTGCGGACACGGTACAGGAGAATGATGCTGACCTTTGGGGAGGGGGGTACCTGGAATCTGACATGTACCCGCTCTTCCGCGGAGTTGTTCTTTGATCTTACCTGTTCCTCTATCCAGCGGCTGCGTGTTATTATCCGACTTCTGTAGTTGTCGGCACTCGGCATGACAAGCCGGGTTACCAGTGCGCATGGGGCGGAGAGAGCAGCACTTGCGCTTTGTGATTGGTCCAGCGGCTTCTGGGATCTGTCATGTGTCCCAGGGTACCGCTCTTACCATTCACAAAAAGCACCGCTTCTCGCGCATGCGCACTTGGCACCCGGCTCTCATGCTAAGCGCTGCACTTACAGAAGCCGGGAAGACAGCGCCGCTGGATAGAGGAACAGGTAAGGTCAAGAACAACGCGGAAGTAAGATCCGGGTACATGTCAGATTCAGGCACCCGCTCCCCCTCCCTCCCAAAGGTCAGCAGTCATCTCCATAAGGTCCCGCTGCAGAGCTGAGCGGCCGGCCCGGTATTCTGGACACGGCGGCGGTGGAAAATACCGGACGGCCGGCCGCTCCATATTCACTCCATAAGACGCACTGACATTTCCCCCCCCCTTTTTTGGGAGGAAAAAAGTGCGTCTTTATGGATGCGAAAAATACGGTAAATATAAAAATTATTAGTTTTAAATTAATGATGTTCGTGATAGGAAAAAATAAATTTTTTTTTGTGTAAAAGTTGATATCTTGTATAAATCCAACACCGAGCCAATCCACATCCACCGAATGAAATGGGAACACTCACCAGAGCTCCATAAATCAGCACAGATAGTGTTTCCTCCGGGGAGCGAATGCTCAGCAGAAGGAATCCGAAACTGGGGAGCAATATACTGCAAGCAGCCAATCAGCACAAGATGGAATCGCCTTTACCACCAGGTAGTCATCACGTCTCCATACCATAGATCCTGTCCGGGGACTCAGGAAATCTCAGTGCAATACGTGTATAACCAAAATTTTTTATTAACCCTCCTGAGGATTTACCCCCCTTCTGACCAGGCCTCTTTTTTTCTACTCGGCGCTGCACTAATTCAACTGATAATTGCGCGGTCATGCAACGCTGCACCCAAACGAAATTTTACGTCCTTGTTTTTGCACACAAATAGAGCTTTCTTTCGGTGGTATTTGATCACCCGGGCGCTTTTTATTTTTTGCGCTATAAACAAAACACAAAATTTGTAAAAAATCCAATATTTTCTACTTTCAGCTTATATAAAAAATATATCGTAAACTCAAAGTCATAAATTTAGGCCAAAATGTATTCTGCTCCGTGTTTTTGTTAAATAAAATCCCAACAAGTGTATATTGATTGTAGACGGCTATAACTTTCACACAAAGCCAAACTATGGTATAGATCAGGGGGTCCTCAAAACTGCGTCCTGTGGGCCACATGCGGCCCGCCGAGGTCATTTATCCGGCAGGGGCGGGACAGGAAGGGACACTAAGTACAGGGGGGCGGGCAGGGGGCTGCTGTACCTTACCTGGCTCCAGTCCCAGTCCCACGACGATCCAGTCCAGGAAGCCCTGCTCCTTCAATCACTCCCTCACTCCTGCCGCTCGGCTCCGCATCCTCACCGGTGATTGAGCTCCAGAACTGTAACTCAGAAAAGGCACACAGGAAGCCAATCACCTGCGAGGAGGCGGCGGAGCCGAGCGGCCCTGCAAACATCGAGTGAGAGAGAGTCCGGAGGAAGGAAGGACAGGTAAGTGTGCCGTGCTGATGGTGCTGCTACAAACAGGTATGCTGGCTGCAGTAGCACCTAGGCTGGAGCAGGGGTCAGGAAGTTACGTGTCATTGGTGTCATTGATGTCAGTGGGAGGAATAGTGCCCCATCATTGGTGTCACTGATACTAATGATGTTCATTATTCCTCCCACTGACACCAAAGATGGGGCACTATTGCTCCACTGACACCAATGACGGGGCACTATTGCTCCACTGACACCAATGATGGGGCACTATTCCTCCACTGACACCAATGATGGGGCAATATTCCTCCCACTGACATCAATGATGGGGCACTATTCCTCTCACTGATACCAATGATGGGGCACTATTCCTCCCACTGATACCAATGATGGGGCACTATTCCTCCCACTGATACAATGATGGGGCACTATTCTCCCACTGATACCAATTGATGGGGCACTATTCCTCCCACTGATACCAATGATGGGGCACTATTCCTCCCACTGATACCAGTGACGGGACACTATTCCTCCCACGAATACCAATGACGGGTCACTATTCCTCCCACTGACACCAATGATGGGGCACTATTCCACTGATACCAGTGAGGGGGCACTATTCCTCCCACTGACACCAATGATGGGTCACTATTCCTCCCACTGAACCAGTGATGGGGCACTATTCCTCCCACTGATACCAATGACGGGCACTATTCCTCCCACTGACACCAATGACGGGACACTATTCTTCCCACTGACACCAATGATGGGGACACTATTCCTCCCACTGATACCAATGATGGGCACTATTCCTCCCACTGACACCAATGATGGGGCACTATTCCTTCCACTGACACCAATGATGGGGCATTATTCCTCCCACTGACACCAATGACGGGACACTATTCTTCCCACTGATACCAGTGATGGGGCACTATTCCTCCCACTGACACCAATGACGGGACACTATTCTTCCCACAGATACCAATGATAGGGCACTATTCCTCCCACTGACACCAATGATGGGGCACTATTCCTCCCACTGACACCAATGATGGGGCACTATTCCTTACACTGATACCAATGACGGGACACTATTCTTCCCACTGATACCAATGATAGGGCACTATTCCTCCCACTGATACCAATGATGGGGCACTATTCCTCCCACTGATACCAATGATGGGGCACTATTCCTCCCACTGATACCAATGATGGGGCACTATTCCTCCCACAGACACTAATGATGGGGCATTATTCCTCCCACTGACACCAATGACGGGACACTATTCCTCCCACTGATACCAATGACGGGGCACTATTCCTCCCACTGACACCAATGACGGGGCACTATTCCTCCCACTGACACCAATGACGGGGGCACTATTCCTCCCACTAATACCAATGACGGGGCATTATTCCTCCCACTGACACCAATGACGGGGCATTATTCCTCCCACTGACACCAATGACGGGGCATTATTCCTCCCACTGACACCAATGACGGGACACTATTCTTCCCACTGATACCAATGATGGGGCACTATTCCTCCCACTGACACCACTGACGGGACACTATTCTTCCCACTGATACCAATGATGGGGCACTATTCCTCCCACTGACACCAACGATGGGGCACTATTCCTCCCACTGGACACCAACGATGGGGCACTATTCCTCCCACTGATACCAACGATGGGGCACTATTCCTCCCACTGACACCAACGATGGGACACTATTCCTCCCACTGACACCAACGATGGGGCACTATTCCTCCCACAGATACCAATGATGGGACACTATTCCTCCCACTGACACCAATGATGGGGCACTATTTCGCTCCATAAGACAAACTTTGGGGGAAATGTCTGTGCATTTTATGGAGCGGCTGGCCCAGTATTCCCACCGCCGTTGTATGTCTGCAGTCTCTGGTCATCCCCTGTACTGTCTGCAGTCTCTGGTCATCTCCTGTACTGTGTCCGCAGTCTCTGGTCATCCCCTGTACCGTGTCCGCAGTCTCTGGTCATCCCCTGTACCGTGTCCGCAGTCTCTGGTCATCCCCCTGTACCGTGTCCGCAGTCTCTGGTCATCCCATCCCCTGTACCGTGTCCGCAGTCTCTGGTCATCCCCTGTACGTGTCCGCAGTCTCTGGTCATGTGGCCCGCGTGGCCGTAGTTTGAGGACCCCTGGTATAGATAATTTGAAATTTACACAGCTCTTACTTTCTGACTTCCATCACATCTCTTGAGGTGCTAAAATATCAGGATAGAACAAACTCCCCCCAAATGACCCCTTTTCGGAAAGTAGACACCCTAAGCTATCTGCTGAGAGGAATATTGTGTCCATGGAAGATTTATTTTTTTTTCCACAAGTTTCTGGAAAATGACAAAAACATTATATATTTTTTTTTATAGCAGACACCTCTAGTAAATAAAATGGTGGGTGCTGCTATCTATCATCTATCTACCGTATTTTCCGGCGTATAAGACGACCCCCTACTTTTCCTGCTAAAATGTAGTTTTTGGGCTATAACTTGCCGTATAAGACTACCCTCTTCCAATGCACACCAGTGGGAGGAATAGTACCCCATCATCGGTGTCAGTGGAGGAAATAGTGCCCCATCATTGGTATTAGTGGGAGGAATAGTGCCTCATCATTGGTATTAGTGGGAGGAATAGTACCCCATCATTGTATCACTCGGCGCGGAGGAAATAGTGCTCCATCATTGGTATCAGTGGGAGGAATAGTGCTCCATCATAGTATCTAGTGGGGAGGAATAGTGCCCCATCAATTGGTATCAGTGCGGAGGAAATAGTTGCCCCATTCATTGGTATCAGTGGGGGAGGAATTTGTGGCCCAGCCATTGATGTCAGTGGCGGGAATAAAATAGTGCCCCATCATTAGTATCAGTGGCCAGGAATATCAGTGGGGGTGGAATAGTGCCCCACATTGTTCAGTGGGGGGGGGGGAAAAAGTGCCCCCTCTTGTG